GATTAAATCATGTTGTGTCCATCTGATTATGGAACAATTTTGGTTTGTGAATCATGTGCCCCTCCCCCAGTCAGTATTTTATCTGAAAAATTGGGGAAATCATCTTCCGTAGATTTTAGGACAACAGAAATTGCAGGATGGTTAAAAGAATATAGAGTAAGAGGACTTCAGTTCCTCTTTAATATTCTTCAAGTCAACTGGTATTATAAAATGTGCATTTGGAGAAGCAATGGGAGGATGGAGTTTTGGCAACACAGAACATTTCCAGAGAGAGGCCTAGATTAAGAGATGGTGTAGTCCAAACTGGATGGGGGAGAAGCAAAGAGGATACATCTCAGGATACATCTAGCTTGAGTTTAGTCCGATTCTGTCTATTAATTCTAAGCAAATAAAGGATTGGAGTCAAATGGATTTCACTGTCTTGTTTGGGCTTGGGATTGACAATTAAGATTTATGAGCATATATAATTCAAACTGTAAAAGCATCTAGTTTCCAGAGATCATGTTGCTGTACTGTATGCAAATAGATGTTTTTCTATTGGTACAAAATTGAAACACATGGCTATCCATGAAAAGATATGGGCAATACAAGAAAGGCCACTGTACAGTTTAGCTGCCTATATACAGTCCTTTGGAATGTGTACTTTCAATTCAATATCTACAAGGTTATAAAATGTCAACTTGCATATTAAGCCCCACATTTTAGTAAAAATTAAAAAAGGAGTCCAAAAATAAAGCATTCTTTTGATATATTATTTTATTAGAAACTTTAATGAATTATGCAAACTTATAAATGATAATGTCATCATTTTTCTGGTCTGAGGTCCCTTAAAGTCTTAGAGTCAGTGTTTGATCTAGTTTAATATATGGTCTTATTATACTGAATTACATTTTCATAAAAATGTTAACAGTAAAAATTTAAAAATCTTACATTTTCTATGAATTTCATCTAAAATTATTTTTCCTACTTGTTTCAATTTGATAGCTGAGAACAGATCTGCCACTCTTTTTCTTTCACGGAAGAAAGGATTTCTTGAGGGGTCCTTGATGCTCTGAGCTTCATTGTTTGGTTGCAGACTTCATTACTCAAACTAGGTAACATTATCAGTGCTAGCAAGAAGAGGGGTTTGTTCTCAGTTTATATTCTAATCGATTGCCCTGTCAGTGTTGGTGGAAGTGATCTTGGAGATTCTTTGGTTGGGCTGTTTACTGTTAGTTTGTTTGAAAGTTCCTTGATTGGGGTATAGTACTGTTTACTTCTTGATTGTTGGAGTGATGTTAATCTTGGAGTTAATCTATGCTTATCTGGGTGATAATTGTTAGCAGGGAGGTGTTTTGGCCTTTTTGTTCCCTTTTGGGCTTGCTGACTGTTTCTTTTACATAGTATGTAGATATTGTTTATGTCTATGTATCTATTGATGGCTAATTTGTCAGAGTGCCAGGTTTCTAGAAATACTCTAGCGTTTTTGGACTTGGCTTGGTCTAGCATGGTTACAGTTTCCAGTTGAAACTATGGTTAAGTCTATCTATATGTTGTGAAATTAAAGACCTTTCATCATGTCTTCTGATTGCTAGTTGATGTTCATGAATGCATTCTGCAAGTCTTATTTTGTTCTACATAGTGGCTGTTACAGTCATTACACTGTGTGTTGTAGATGACTCGTTTTTTTCTTCTGTGACTGCTGGGTCTTTTAGTTTACTTAGGATGTTTAGAAGGGCTTAAGTTGGCTTGTGTTTTATGCTGATTCCATGTGGATGTAATACTCTGTTGGTGGTTTTTTGAGATGTTTTTGAAGTATGACAGTGTTATTCTTTTTATGGCTTGTGCAGGTTGTGCTATATTGGGTTGAGTGATCAGACACTTTTTGATGAAGTTGTGTGGATATCCATTTTGTTGGAAGGTGTTGTATAAATGCTGTTTCCTTTTTCTGCTGTTCAGGGTTGCTGCAATGTGTTTGTGCTCTTCTAAATAACATTCTTACGCAACTTCTCTTGGGAGGTTGGGTTATTGCTTTGGTAGTGGAGTATGTGATTGGTATGGGTGGTTTTGGGGTACACAGTGTTTCTAGTTTGCCATCGTGATCTCTGCTAATCCCCAATCAAAGAATTGCTAAACAACTAACAGTAAACAGACCAACCAAAGAACCCACAAGACTACTCCCATCAATATTGACATTAGAATATAAAACGAGAACTCCATTCCTTACTAACACTGATGATATTACCTATTTTGGGTAATTAAATGTCTGCAAGAAAACAACTAAGCTTAAAGAGTACCAAGGACTCCTCATTTCCATTCAAAGCTACAAATATTTCTTTTGCAATAGAGTAGAACCAAAAAACATTAAAGACTTTCTCTTGGATCTTTGAACTAATTCCAATATTTTCTACACTATTCTCAAGAGTAGAAATAGTTTAAGAAACAATGCACTAAACCATTCTGAATAGTTCTAAGAACTGTATCATGGAGCCATCTTAACTCCTTTAAAAACCTGAAGCAATTATCATTTCTGCTTGGTTTTAAGTGTTTTGGTTTATGGTAACCAGAAATGGTGACATTTCAAGTTTAATTTTAAAGCTAATTAAGCAGAGATTCCATTTTCATGTTTCTCAGTTATTCACATCTTCATAACAGCATTCAACCACAGACTATGTGAGTCCAGGAATACAATACTAATATTTCTCCAGCAGTAGATACATGGATATTAGTCATGTTTTGTTCAAAATACATTTAAATACTTGACTTTCTTTTAAAAAGTGACTGGACTAAACATGAAGATGCTATCTCTAATGTTGTTTCCATATTTATGAATACAAAATAAATTCCTGTTAAGACTCCCTTTTTATCCTTCATAAATTACTTTAAAATAATGTTTCTCAACCATAGCAGAAGCATGGACAACTTACAGAATTCCCCAGCCAGCATCTTAAAGTTGCCAACATTGAGAAACACTACTGTAGCTTTGTGCCCACCCAACATATGGATGTACACACATCTGTATAATGGAGAGAAGCTAAAGTACCTCTCTCAGGAGAAAAGAACTCCAATAGATTATAAAACATTTTCAGAATATAAAAAGTATCTCCTGTTTTTGGTAATTTCCATCTATAAACTATAATAAGGATAAGCAATCTGTTTCTGTATATCCAACTCTATGCACTTTTCTGATAGGAAAGTATTAAAAGCATTATTGGACCCAATTGTTGAGTCCTTTGTTTCTTAGATGTCTAGGTCTCCTTCAATGCGCAATGAATGAGGCAACTGCAGCTTAAAAAATGTCTGCATAATATGATATCTCAAACTGTTGTGTTGCTGGAAGAATCAGGCCAAACTTACATACAATATACCATAGCAAGAAGGATAGCCAATAATAGCTTAATGGTTCCAAACCAGATGCAAAAAACAGTACCCTAAAAAATAATTTCCTGGCCTATTCTCAATTCTGATATTTCACTAACTAGTGAAAGTAGGGAAGAATAACAATTGCTAAAAAAAAACTTTAAGCTTTGCTGTGAACTTCTAGAGACATCTAACAGGCTTCAGTGGGAAACAAGAAGATAGACTAGATGAACATTGTTTTTAGAATACAGCACAAGTCTGCCACCCAGAGGATCTACCCCTAAAAGTGAAATAAAACATGCTATAACTATATCTAGTACTCTAGGGTTTTTTGCATATAGATCAAAGAATCTAACTTCCCATAGAAAAAAAATCAAAATCAGCCTGTATGTTGTTGGTTAATATGTGCGATAGAATATACAAGAGTATGCTTGTTTCCTAAAACAAACAAAACATATGTATGTGTGTGTGTATGTTATACACACACACACACACACACACACACACACACACACACAAACACACACATATACATACATATATTACCCAGAAATCTGGGAACTCAGAAGGCAATTTTTCTTTTTCAATGTCTTTTTAAATATATTTCAAAACTAATTATACAAAGATCCAAAAAGAGGAAGTCATCCCTAACATTCATTGTTTCCACAGAAACTATAAAACGTTTATTTCTTAATGTTTACTTTAAAAGGAGTGATATTTAAATTCATACATATAATTTGCCTACAATTAAGTAAAAATAATTCAACAGAACAGATTAAGTTGTACATTTTTAACGGGTAGCTTTGAAAATAGGTGAGGGGCATCTATGTAAAAACTAGTTTTCATAAAGAGTCCAATGAGTCTGAATCACCTTTTATATATCCTTAGATGTACGCCCCTACAGACACAGAACATATCGTCTTTCAAGAACAACAATGCATTTATTAGCAAATCTGTTACATCGGTTTAATTTCTAAATATATCCACCTCAATTTGAATATACAAAATGTAGTACATAGGGCTCAGAATTTATATTTTGAAATATTTTTCAAATCTTTTAATATACTTTTATGAAAACATATTGCATAAACCTCTAGGTTGCTTTATTTTAGAATTTAGCACACATTTGTTTCCCTAGTTTCTTACAATATTTAAAAAGAGAAATTTTACTTCAACATCCAATTGAACCAAGCCACTAGGAGTGCATGTTAAAATTATGGTTCTATATGAATTTATGGTAAACTTCCTTGAATTAAATCAAAGCGACTGTGGAGTTACCAAAATCAACTTTAACCTAAAAAAAACCCTCAGCGGGAGAGAAAAACTCAGCGGGGGTGGTGTATGTGTAAGCCTTTGGAGACTATACTAATTGGAAATACTTACAGCAACTGGGATCGTGGAACAGAAAGTAAAACGAATATAGCCGGTCCGCGCCACAATTATGAATTGAAATGAGCGGGGGCGGAAATGGAAGAAAGAGGTACAGCCCCCCCCACCCAACACAAAGACGTGAATAAGGCCTACTCCTCATTATTCTAGAAACCGCCATTTTCATTCCCCAAAGCCTCAGCCGCCTGTCAGCCGAGCCCAGTCATACCCCTTCTCGAAAAGGCATTCCCCACCAATTGCTTCATTGAGCTCGGAAGGCCCTGGTCGCTCACCTGGTCACCGGCGGGAGCTTCTCCAGACATGGCGAGTTAAAACGGTGCCCGGAAGTAGAGGGGGGAGCAGGAAGCAGGGTCCGATATATATATATATAGATATGCCTATTTCTTAACCCTCCTACCCACCCACCTCCCGTTCTCTTCCCTCGCAAAACCCCCGGGCAGCTCGTAAGTGAACTAATCAACCCTGCGTGCAGCTTCCACTCGCCCGAGGAACAAAATGGCGGCTCAACCGCCCCCAACTCTCGCCTTCCTCAGTAAAGGAAAGGGGCGGGGCTGAACGGGGAAAGGACGAGTGCGCAAGGAATAGTCGGGTGTGTGTTTCTGTGTGGAATGGAAGGTTGAAGCGCAGGGAGTGGCGCGCAAGGGGTTAAACAAACAGAACGCGAGCTGGAACGGAGAGAGGGGCAGCGTGAGAGGAATGCCGGGAACGAAGGCGACTAATCAAGTCATCTACACCGCGCATGAACGGAAAGAAAAACAAACCCGGCGCATTTTGATTTGGCGGGTAGTGATACGACGGGAAGGTTTTAACGCAGAGGATGTTTGCCGAGGCATGTGGATAAATCACATGCACGTGAGAAACAGACCTTTCTGTATGGTGGGGTTATTAATTGACATGCTCCCTTTTTCTCCCGTCTGCTCTAGAATTTCTTATGCGTTGTGTGCTCTGGGCTCGTAGCCAATGTAACGTAAGGCAATCTCGACAACCCCCCCCCACAAGAGTTTCAGTCTCTTGTCTGTTATTCATATGAAACCGTAGGGCGACATCGTCAGAATGAGATGCTCTATTACAGAGATCCCCAACCTTGGCCACTTTAAGACTTGTGGACTTCAACTCCCAGAATTCCTCAGCCAGCTATGCTGGCTGAGGAATTCTGGGAGTTGAAGTCCATAAGTCAAAGTGGCCAAGATTGGGGACCTCTGCATTATGCTGGGGATAATCAGCTGTAATGTATGCTCCCCAACGCTTAAGGAAGCTTCTGGTTTTCTTGCTTCTTGTGTAAATCAGATAAGGATTTTGCTGCCCCAGTTATGACTCATGCCCCCACTGCAGTTGTTCATGGAAAAGTGGGGCCTGGTAGCAACGTTTATTAACTATTATGTGCCATCAAGTAGTTTTCAAGTTCTAGCGACCAGAAATAGATTTTTTTCATGATGATTTATCTCTGACTTCTTCCTTCAAGTCTTTCTATGGTGCACTCATCGTCACCATAAAGAGTCTGTCCACCTTGCTACTGACAATCCTCTCTCTTTCCACCTTTCCCAGCATTAGGCCCTTTTTCCAGAAAGCTGGGTCTTCACTTAAAGCAGCGGTTCTCAACCTTTGTGTGACGGCGACCCCCGTCACACGGACGCGCCGCCCCCTGAGGGGAAAAAATGGTGGATCGCGTTGTTTGACGACCCCCGTAAAATGGTCGTTCGACCCCAAATGGGGTCGCGACCCATAGGTTGAGAACTGCTGACTTAAAGTATCCAAAGTAGGATAATTTGAGTCTGGACATTTGTGCCTTGAGAGAGAACCACTGGTGGGTACTTTAGTCTGTGAAATTGTCTTGGTATAGTTACCTATGAATAATAATAATTTATTAAATATATATGAAACCCAACCCCCAGCAACTCTGGGTGATTTACAGTTCTTGAACAACATTTCAAAACAAAGAGCTATACAAAAACACAACAATAGTATAAAACAAAACAACAAGGGCAAAGAAAATAAATCCAGAGGGGAATAGAAAAGAAGAAAGGAGGGTCAATGATCCTCTCTAAAAGTCTGGGGGAATTCAGGGATCAAATGAAATTGATTAAGTCATGTATTTTGAATATACAGATAGTTCTCGACTTATGATCACAATTGGGCCAAAATTTCCGTGGCTAAGAAAGAAAGATATTAAAGAGTTTTGCCCCATTTTAAACATTTCTTGTTAAGTTAGTAGCATGGTTGTTAAGAGAATCTGGCTTCCCTGTTGACTTTGCTTGTCAGAAGATCACAAAAGGTGATCACGTGACTCTGAGATATTGCAACCCTCATGCATGCCAGTTGGTAAGGCTCCTGTCCTCACCCCAACTCCTGCCAACCTAAAAGCATGCAAATAAAGAGGTACCACTTCTGTGGGAAACTAACAGCCCTCTGTGATGTCATGCTAGTCACATGACCACGAAAATGTCTTCAGACAGTGCTGGCTCAATGGCCTTTAAATGGACATGAAACACCGACCCCTATATCAACAATGACTAGCAGAGTAAAATCCTGGGGGACTTCTTGTTCCCAACTTATGACTGAGTCAGCCTTAAGTCATCCTTATCTATATCAGTATTAAAATAGTATTTCCCCCTTTTTCTTACACCATCCAAGTCAGCCTCAAAGCGTATAAAATCTGTTGGGCTTTGTCACCTGTTACCTTGGAGAGCAGTTAGATAACTTCAATGACTCCAAACAAAGATAGCAGCGATAGGAATCAGTGAGGGAAGCAAGAGATGTCATGCTTGTGTAGTTTTCTCTTGACTTAAAGATAGGCAGATAGCATTCCAGCTGAGCAGAGTGAAGACCCAGATAAATTTTGTTTCATAACTGAAAGCACATACAGGCTTCTGGGACCAACGGAAGGGGAACAGAAATTGTAGAACCTTGTAGAAGTTTGAGCCTTGTGCAATTTGTTCTTATGCAAGTTTGCTAAGAGATTATTTCATTGCTGTGGTTGCAAGGGAGTGCAACTTAGGCATATTTGGAAAAAGTAAAAATGGGGACTGAACTTTAGCTTTCTTATATTGGGAGGTATTCTCAAATGGCAAGACCGTATCCAAACCTATTTTTTTTTCTATCTGCGTGCTCTTTGTAGCTCATAATTCCCTTTTTATGAATTTGTTGCATCCTATATACTATATGTATTATTCCTTCTGATCACCTAACCTCTGCTAGTAAGATAGATAGATACACAAATACACATAACTTACATGAAATACAGATTTTAAAGTTCTGGATTTAATTCCTATTGCATTTGGAGAATGCACTAGGAAGAACGTTCAATATAAACAGTCAATGGGTTCTCCTTTCCACCTTCCAAAAAGGCAATGCATACATAATAGGCGTCATCTGGCCATTTTCCTCTTCATTCAGTTCTAGCTGGAATTTTGGTTGTAAATCATTGCAGTTGTAAGTTGAGTCACCATGTGACTGGACTCAATTTTACAACAATTTTTTCCAATGGTCATTAAGTGAGATAACAAGTGATTCATGCAGTCATAAGTCCGAATCCAGCTTGTCTAATGTGTTTTTTGCCAAAAAGTGGCAAAAAAATAACAAAAGGTGATATGACTGCAGGATTCTGCACCTGATTGAAAATGAGTGCCAGTTGACAAGCCCCTAAAATGCAGAGGTGATACAGTAGCCTTAACTTTGGGGACTGAGTTTTTTGAGTCTGTCCTAACTCCAAATGGTTGTTAAGTTACTGGTTGTAAGTTGAAAACTAGCTGGTACCTCATTTCTTCTTAGTTCTTTGTTGTATACTCTGAGAATGTTACTGAAGGATGAAATGAATGCTGTTTAAATAATTAACATTTAATGTTAAATTTTTGAACATTATATGGGTAGTCCTTGACTTATGAACATAATGGAGGCTGCCCATCATGTAAGTCATATGATCAACTCAATTTTAGGATTTTTTTGGGGGGGTAGTCATTAAGTGAATGCTACAGCCATTGAGCAAACCAATGGTTCACAATGGGCATGGTTTTGCTGAAAACTGGAAGTAAACTAACCCCAATTGTATTTCTTTGGTCATGTAATTGCGGAGGGCAATCATTGAAACTCCAAATCTGGTCATAAGTAGCCTGCACATAGGCACATCCTAACTTCAGGTGACCAGTCCTTAACTTGAGGTTTACCCTGTTCTTGGATTTAAGGAAAATAATAAATCTAGATTCCTATAGATTTCACTCTTAATTGTGCCACGATAGGGGTGGCTTCATATTACTTTTTAAAATTTGTCTGCTTAAAAAGCCTTTTTGATGGCAGCTTATGTAGTTATATGTTCCTGGCATTGGAGTAATTTACGTTGAGCCACCCACATAGTTAAACATTGGGACATGGTGGTTTTCCTTTCATTATATCAAATCATGTAAAGAAATTAGGAATCAAGGCTGCTGAAGTCATGCCGGGGTCTGCACAAGTAGTGATTTCCCGCTATTATTTAGAGGTCATGAGTTATACAAAAAGACTATGCCAACTGATGTACCAAGTAACAATTAAAACAAATGCTATAGAAACTGACAAGACTTTAGGCATTGCTAAAGCATAAAACAACAATTCTTACTGAGGGGCATTGTGTTACTTTTTTAAGTTAAGACTTTGCTAGCTGTACCACTAGATGGCAGACTGACCCAGATTCAGGATACTTCTTTCTTCTATAGAGGAGCATATGGTAAGAAATCAACTTCTTTTATCTATTATTCTCAGTTTTCTAATATTGCAATCTGCATTTTTATTTAAATAAACTGTAATCCTAAGGGGCTTTTTTCATCCCACCTGTGTGAACCACTCCTGAACACAAGGGTTTGCTCCATGCCTGCCAGTACTAGTTTAAGTAGGCAGAGTCATTACTGGGCACTTAAAAGATTCCAAGCAAAGCCCCCATATTAGCATGTAGTTATATAAGTGTATATAGTAAAAAAAAATGTGCAAAAACTGTTAGAGGACTTCTGGGAATATGTAATTTGATTTCTTGTCATCACTGAAAAATGTGTGGTTTTCATCCTCGGTGTGCATTTATAAAGCCATAGGATAACAACTGTATAATTTAATTAGTTTAGGTAGCTTAATTTTTAGATGTCACTGATCCAATTTTTCATTTATCTTGTACAACAAATAAAACAATCATCTCTACTTCTACAGATAATACCATGCAAGTTTGGTCAACAGTAAATTCTGCTTTTTCACAGTGTTTGTTTCAAGGGTAAAGGCACACATAACAATTGCAGACAAGAAGCCCTCATTCCAAAATGAAAAGATATGGGACAAAACAGAAACCATGGAGTTGGTATGTATACTTTGTAATTTAGCATACTTGGGGGTAACGTACATGTGGCTTCAGAGCCACCTTTGTTGGGCTGAAAAGGATGCTTCAGTGACAGTCTTGACATGGTCAGAGATATGGTCAGAGCTGTCTATGCTGCTGCTTCTGGCACAGCTGATGTAGTTTTCAAATAAGGTAT